TGTTCTCAAAGTACTTTGCCAAACTATTTACCAGTAACGTGCTCCAGTGTTACTGGATGTGGATTCCCTTCAAAGTGAAGGGTTATGGATGTAGCAGCCTTTCCCACTAGCACCACCTTGGGTAGTTACATGTTCCTGGCTGCTTTATGAAGCAGTGGCTGTGTCCAGCCCTTTTACATAGAACACCATATAGCTCATTTTTGTTTTATCTAAATGTAATGTAATTGGCTGTAATGTACTTTGTTTTAATTATTTAAAAGTAATTACCTACCTCTGATCATGACCATGTGCATAGTTTAACTGCCCAGGACTCTTTATCTCTGTTTCAGAGGGACACAGGAACCTTCGCATGACTAAGCAGGTACCATGCCTTCAACTTTGCAGCTAGCTTGTATTGCACAAATTTCCATTTTCTTTGGCCCTGGTTAAAATTATGTGAGGTTTCTGCAAACTGTGAAGGCTTGGATATCTTGGCATTAATCTGTTTTATCAAAAAAAGACAAATATTACAATAATCTAGCTACCATCAGCTGTTCATCAGTGATACATCTTTCTCACAAGTAGGTTGTGTACTGACATAGACTTACCAGCGTTGCATTCTCACAAGCTCTACCACCAGAGTACCTAAGCAAGTACTCTGATTTTTTTTGCATGAATTTTTTTGCACATCATCTTTGTGCACTGCCACGAAGAGTAAATTTTTTCAAATAAAATACACCATTGATTAGTAAAATTGATTAAAAGGACTAATGAATATGGAGTGTCACAGCATGTCATTAGAATTTCACAGTATTTCTTGTGCCTACTGTAATGCTGACCTAAGGTAAGAGCCCATCTAATGCACCTGAGATTTGGGAAGACCTTACTTGCATGTGATTTATCACACACCACACAATCACAGACAAAAGAGAAAGTCTTGCCTTTCATTACATAGCACTCTGTGCCTGTATTGCTTACAGAGAGTTATTACTGAGGCTTCTAGAGCTATTTTACAGACATTACATTGCTTGTTTACGGTATTAAAACATGGAGCACGGACACAGACATTAAAGCTGACACTGTAACCTAGCACAGCATTATGTTATACTTAATAGCACATTCTCTGGACACAGGAATAATACCTGCACTGCAAAAAATTAAAGAGCTATTGCCTTGTAATATTTGTATATTTTCTATTTTACATATGCTGGATTTTGCTGTGAATACACAAATATTTAAAGATGATGTCTTGTCCTTGCATGTGCCTTTTAGTCAGCCTAATATTTCCAGTCAGACTGTTACTCAAGCACCACTGCATTAGCACTTGTTTAAAGGCAGACTAAATACAGAGGTGCTAAGCAAACACTGGTGCTGAAGGCTCATCCCTGGTACACACATTGTTCTAAAGGCACTAATACAAATGACCACCTGAATGTTATCAAACACATAAACTTCTTTAAGAGGAACAGATATAAACAAAAGGGTTTTATCCACAGAGCCAATACCAGTTTAAATAACTGGTAAGTTTATGCATACTGTAACAGTTTAATAAGCAGTTAGTGTATGATAAGGAGTTCACTTCATAGCCAAAACTGTAGTGCACAATTTGGTGAGACTTGCTGTTATTCCCTCCAGCCCCATGTTCTCTTACAGCACTTCAGTGAATTACTGCAGCACAACTGACTCACGAGTAACCGAGTCCAGACAGCACAAGTCCAAGGGGGTAGAGAGCTCTTCCTTTATTAACAGGAATTAACAAATTTATTAACCTAATCAGAACTTATTTGCTAAGTAATAATGAATCTCTGCTGCTGTAAAATAAGAGACCATGCTCTTAGACCCTGCCAAGCACACAGCAGGACAGAAATGACACACCCCTGTGTTCAATACATGCCATCAGCACCAGAACACAACCATGGTTAATTATCAGCAGGTCTTACATGAAGCTTTATTAGCTAGCTAATTGCCTGCTCACACTGAAATTTAAGGGCAGATTTATGGAAAACAGACTACATGCACATTTCCATCTTGGAAATGCAGATTCATGCCTCTGAACTAAGTTAGTCCAGCCAATGTTCCTACCCTCTTCCCTCATAGGGAAGACTGAACTTTGGACTTAAATAGCTGCTTCAGAAAGGGCACTGGCTTAGTCTTTTGCAAGGACAAGACAAGCCTTTAAATATTTAGGCATGATTGCTGTACCCAAAAGTGCAGTCTCGGATCTACTTAATACCAAATTAGTACTTTTGGCACAATATCCAGTAATCATGAATTTATTTTATTGCTTATATCTGTGGTCTCAAGCCTTTACAAAGGTTTGCTTAATGAGGGGCAAGTGAGAGGCCATGTCACAAAACTGAAATGCTTTACAGCACATTAGCAATGGAGGCCATGGGGCAAACCCATCATCTGTCTCACTTGCTCACACCACCCCAAAAATTAACCTTGAGGACCAAAGTGTCCCTGCCTTGGGATGTGCCTATGAAATATATGGGGATGGGAGGGAGATGGGAGAGGAAAAGGGGCTAAAGTGGGAAAAGCATTTCCTGTAGGACACTTGCACTGCTAAGCATCAGTCCCTGGGTTACAACAGTTCCAAAGCAATGACTGTTTCCTCCCTCTGTTGGGAGAGATTGGAGTTACTGAGAACCTGAGTGTCACCTGTGGTGCTCTGACCAGAGCAGCCTGTGCAGAGAGAACTGTGGGCTCAGAAATGTCTGCTGCCATCCACAGCACTGCCCCAGGCCCTGCAGGAACTGGTGGGCAGAAATTCTGTACAAATTGCTCTGTCTGCTTGCTCCTCCAGAGGCACAGGAGGGACACTCCTCTGCTGTGGAGTATGAGCACTCCCTTTCTCCACTCCTTTCAAGTACCTTCAGTTGCAGTTCCCTTAGGGGAAAACAGTGAAATGAGGGGAAGAGTGGGGGTAATTTGGGGCTGATGAGACTGATGAGAGGAGGACAAGGACACAAGCACAAGAAAAGGAAACCCATCTAATTTCCAAGCAATTGGGAATCTCAGCCTGTTCACAAGTTACGGAACAGAAAGTGGAATTAGAGGCCCACAGCTCTTGGCTTTTCTGCATTTAGAACCATCAGCCCCACAGGTCCTGTTACAAAACTCTGCTTATTTTTGAGGATTCCAAATGACCTAGCATCTGATTTTCTTTTTCCTATTTTTTCCCCTCTTACTGCAGGAGGGGAAATGAGCCAACATCTTTTGCCCCACCCCGTAGATCTGGAGGCAGAAGAGTAATTGAGAATGCAACAGATGGAGGTGATGACGAAATGGATGCAAGAGATGGAGATTTCAATGGAACAAAAGCCAGTGAATAAACACGCTTCAAAAATTGCACTGCAGCAAGGGAAGGGAGGGAGGACGATATTTAGCACTGTATAAGTCTACTCTTAGTGTCAAGGTCACATACACCCACTCCTCTGACAGATAAAAGCACAACTGCCTTGTCTCCAATGTATAGATTGACACTAAAAGTACTCCAAAACTTTTTGTACCATGAAGCCTATTGGAAAAGGTGGGGATTTTTAACAGAGTAAATCACTTTGAGAATCATGCAGAAAGTGAGTTCTAGTAGCTCAAATGATTTAAAGCCCAGTAAACTATAGTCTACAGAGGATCTGTGAGATTGTTGCAGGGGGAAAAAAGGCATTGGTCAGTTAATCTTTTCTTAAACTTCCATTTTGTTTTGAGTATTCAATTAATATAGGGTTTTCTCCTGGCTACTACACCCCTGATGCACAATTCACAAGGTGGAAGTGCCTTTTTGATCACTTACTGAAAAATATCATTTGTTCAAATTAAGCCAACTGTTACAGTTTTATATGCACCATGGATGTGCTTACACACTAATAAAAGGCTATAAAAATGACTCCACTGTTCTTGTGTACAGGTGTCACTTGAAGGGAAGGGATGCAGCAGAGCTTCTCTAAAACCCAAATACTCCTTACAAAAGTTGATCTGTAATCATTAGAACAAAACCCTGATTTTCTTTGAAGTAATGCTTTTGAAGAAATACAAAAAAAGTCTGAGCTGGAAGTCAAATGACATAAGCACAGGGAACAGGTTTGATTCCCTCAGGGACACACAGTGCTGAGGTGCCCTGGGATGCACAGGACCTGCAGAGACTCACAGCCCTCAGGTGCAGGAGCTGGAAAGCAGTGGGGGCCCTACCTGTCTGTCTGTGGGCAATGAACCCAGCCTTTGGTGTGCAGAAATATTTCCAGCCAAGCCTCTAGAGCAGGCTGAAACCATTAGAAACAGCAGCCCACACTGAATGCAGGATCCAAGCCAAGCTATTCTGCACTAAGGGATCAGGATGCAGTTACTTTTTATTTTTGGAGCACTCCAGGAAGACCACAACTTACTCTGGGAGCTACCAGGACCTGCCACAAACCCTTGCAGCTCAAGCACTTTCAGACAGCAGCAGCTCTGTGGTCACAGCGGGGCAGTAGGGAGCCATGCACAGCAAAGCAGGATGTAAAATCACTCTAAATCCAGTGCAGAGAGCTTACTTGGTGCCTTTGATTGACCAGCAAGTGAACCTTAAGGAGTGTGACTACAGGGAGAGGAAATCATGCACAAACATCCACCTTGACAGCTAAAGAAGTCATCTTCTAAATATAAGCATTGTTTCACGAGTGTGGAGATCACGAACTGGGGATTCAGACTTGGCACCATTTAGCCAGCAGAACCAGAGCCCAGAGAATTCTCTCTCCTCATGAAAGAGTAAAGGAAGAATCCATTTAGAGCAATAAAGATGAGCAGAGAGGGGTAAGGAGTTACTGGATAAGAGTTGATCATTGCCTGATCAGGCACAGAGCTGTAAAGATGCTCAAGAGCTGGTTGTCAACAGTTTGGAAGCCTGCATGTGTGGGAACAAGAAGACAAGCAAGTCAGACTTCATATTAAATGGTCATAAGCACCAATGCTTGGAGCAGAACCAGCAAATTGAACATGTATAAGACAGTAATAACTTGCCAAAAAACTCAAAATGCATCAACAATTCACATTCAAAATAAGCTTTATTCTGCTCCCCAGTTTAAACAACTTCATAGGTGGACTGAGAAATGGAAATCATCTGTGGTTTACATATTCTAGAGAAATAGTGGCCTCAGTGGCTGTTTTCACAGCACTTCCTTAAAAAAAAAAAAAAACAAAAAAAACCAAACCCATTTATGTATTCTTTTGTCAAGTAAGCTCTCCTCATCCCCTGCCACAAAAAAAAAAAAAAAAAAAAAAAAAAAAAAACCACCAACATAAAAATTGTTTGTCATGATTAGTTTTGCAAGGACAGGCTTTCATAAAATACATTAACACTGGGAATGAATCTACTCCATTTAAAAAACAAATGCAGTAATATTCTCAGGGGGAAAATTATTTAAAAACAACATTCTCTACCTATATACAGTTCTCTAGCATAAAGGGCTTTTCAGGCTAAAAAAGCATCTCTAAATTAGTAACAGCTGACATATTCATATAGAAAAATAAAAAAACACTAACACCCAAGGCACCTTAGTGAAGGGAGGTTTGTAAAGCAGTAAAACCCACCTATCAAGATGTTAGAACTAGAAACTTGATCAGGTTTGGCCTCCTACAACCACCAGGCTTTATGAGCCACTATGGGGTTTAAAAAAAAAAGTCTACATGCTATTAACTCTGAGTTCTCCTGAGCACTCTCAGCACGAGACATGTCTCACCTTTAACCATGACCTGTTCTGAATGAGAAATCATTGCTTACAGAAACGTCTTGCCATTACACATCTTGTCACAGAGGCAGGTTTTTGTGCAGCAACATTCTGGTCAGCAAACACTCCATGGGGAGCTGAGTAGCTTCCCTGCAGAAATACACCTTTCTCCACATAAAAACACCTCTAATTTGGGTGACTGCAGCACACAACACCCATGGCAGAAAGCAGAATTCCAGCCAGAACTGGTGGTATATTAACACCAGAAGCCAAAGCCTAAGGAGCTACGTAGTGAATATTGCTGTGTTGTAGGCAGGAGGACTATGGCTTTGGTAGTGTCAAAAGAAGCAACCTTCAAGGAGCTATTTACAGTAGCTGATGCAGGAAGCAATTCCCAGTCCTGCTCTGACACAGTCAGCATTGCTTTGTCACACCTTGTCACTCACAGACCTTGCCCAGAGGCCACTGGAAGCCACTACCAATTGTGACTGCTTGTTCAGTTCTCACCTACCCTGACACTGCTGTCTGCTTGTTCATTGATATTCTCTTTAAAACTAAGGTCTGAAATACACATTTCTTCTCCTTTCCCAAAGCCAGCCAGGCTTTTCATAGCAGCATCTTGACAACACTTTGTGAGGGATGGCTCATGGGTCCTGGAACGTGTGCTGGCCGTGTTCCAAACTCCAGGCGTTTCACCATCCTGCAAATGCAAAACTGAAGTCAGGGCATTTCTCACTGAGTGTTACCATGCTCAGAACAACTGCTCATGTCCAGAACAAACCACTCAGCTGAGATGAGAGAACAGCACTCAGCAATGCACAAACTTCCTTAACTGGGCTGAGTTTTCACTGTAACACAGGGCTCCATTTCCCTCTGAGTCTTTTACAGGTGTTGGAATTTCAGTTTAGCATTGCAGCAGTAGACAACAATCAGCTCATGCATATGTAAATATATGGCCCCTAAGGCTTTTTTGCAGGAGCTTTCATGAGGTTTCTACCTCACGAAACATTCCTTCTAAACAACACTATTGGGCACTGGGTACCAGGACAAACTAGCACATGGGTCTGGCAAAATAATTAAGTCTGAAACAAAGTGCACTATAAGCACTTCACTTACCTAAACACAGAACCTAAATAATGTGCAGTGCAGGATTAGCAGAGTTTAAGCAGACACTGAATGTCAACTTGCAATTACCTTGCTGATTTTTCGTCAATTGATTAAAAAAAGACAACTGGTTCAAACATTCAGAGGAATGTGTACATTGATTAAGGTTACTTCCTGTCAGTTGCTACTTAAAAACACATCTTAGCAACTGTAAAGCATTCTCAGTGGACCCACTATTCACCTTTTTTCCAGTTCTCTCACAAGTGAGAATCTTAACTATGATAAGGGAAGTCTCCCTACATGCCATAACATTCCTGTGACATCACTTGTACAAGAACATAAAGCATAAAATAAATTGAACCAACAAGCAAGAACTGTTGTATTTTGTCCCTATAAACACTGATTTATAATAAAATACATCTTGCACTTGCTTCAGATTCGAGGTATTCAAAACTTGATTGCAGCTAGTCTTCGAATTTCATCAGCTTAGTGACTCCAAATTTTAAACTGACCTGAAACATTCAAATCATAATCCTGAATAACTGAATTTCACATACTTTGAAAACGTCTCTACCAAAACAAAGACTTATATACTAAATATCAGTCCCTAAGTTCCAACACCCAACAGCTGTCCCTAAGACACCAGCAGAGCCCAGCACTCACCCTGTGTCACACAGAGGCTGATGAGGACTCAGGCGTGTTTCAAGGACATCTCTGTTCATGTACATGGACACTGAAGGTCTGTTTGGAGACTGCTCATACACAAAGTTTCGGCAAGATGCAAGCTTGGACTCCAAAGCCTGAAGTGAACAGATGAGGCAAGTATCAGATTGATTGTTCTCTTTCAGAAGATGGCAGTGACACACCAAAATGGCACTGAAGTGTGGGAGTTTGGGGTATTTTTCTTTAAGAGTGAGCTGTCCAGTAGCGGAACCTGCTAGACCCCAGTGCCACATGAGCTCTGAATTTGTGAAGAGATGAGACAGTCATCTCTCTAAAGATGAATCTCTGTTTCTCTAGGGAGCTGATGCTCTTCACCAGCAGGAACACAAAATCTTCACTTTCCTCTGAGAGATTTTTACATCTTTCTTACAGGCATAAATTTTTAGATTACTAAACATTCATATGAGCGATCAGCTTCCCTAGACATGTATTGGGTGGTACACCAGAGGGAATGAGCCACAGATAACTTATTCTCCCTCCCATATTCCCATTCTAGACCACTCCACCTTTGAGTTGCTTTCTGGCTGTATCAGTTCTGCAGCTCAGCCCATCAAAGCCCCATAAAAATGTTTGTCACAACACAGCACCAAGGCATAAGGAGGTTAACACAAGTCATGGGATAACTTTCCCAACATCAGCACTACCTCAAATATCAAACTACAGCTTAGCAGGACATTAGGCCTTGCTCAAAAGACCACTGGACTCTTAAGGCAAACTTCACCAGAAGCTTTTTGGACAACAGGTACCAGCATGCTAACTTCCCTGCTCTCACAGGAACAGATCCCTTCTCAATTTACTCATGCTGACTTATTTTTTCTGCACATGCACTTCCAGAAATTCATAAAGGGAGATCTTATCCTTATCTGGATTAGAACTTAGAAAAACAAGCATGGTCCATTTTTATTTGGGGGTTGGTCAGAAATGTTTGAAGTCCAGACCAAGCCCAAGGCCACACTTAGCTAACCTGGGGGCAAGAGACTCCTTTCAGTCTCCTCTGAACAGTAATGCTGGCTGCAGTTTCCAAGAGCTCCAGCTTTCCAAAAGCATTGGAATTTTGGCAGGTAATCACTCACCCCCACTTTTCGCAGCAAGTCTCCCACAATATTAAGTGCAGATATTCTTGCAGCTGGTGTGAGAGGGGTGGCACCATAACTGTCCTCAAGACCTTCAGGGCAGGTTAAAGAAGGGTATGTTACTCATGGAGAGAAAAAAAAAATAAATAAATTGACCCTACTGTCTTAGAGAAGATGATTCAAGGAAGAAGATTAAAGATCACACAGGTTTTTAAAGCTTTTCCCCTAAATCAGACCAACATCTCTGGGACAGTTGTGAACTAACAGAAAGTACCAACAGCTCATCTTATCCCTCATTATTTCCAGACAGTTCAAATCAATTGGAAATGAACAGGCTATGAATAAACTTAAAAAATCCCAGTCTGTGAATACTGAGACCATGATGATTTGATTTAGGTTACACTACACTACACACTGAATTCTGTGGCTAAAGCAGGAATGAAAAGAAGGGAGCAAACTATAGCAAAAACAAGAGCATCAAATGGTATTTGTGAGCTGGTTCCCTGCCAGTCACCTCTCCTAAAGGTCCCAGGGGTGGGAATGCTGATGGGTGTCCGGCGCATTGCGGGTGTTGAGGGCACAGATAAGGAGGCCTGAACTGCAGTGTCTGTTCTTTCTGCTTCCAGGGGAGCTCTCATTGGTGTTTTGGGCTTCTCCTGTTTCTGCTGCACTGCAAGCTCTTGTCGTAGATCTATGAAGGAAGCAACACAAAGCAAGTGCTGGAGTATGCAGCCACCAAGACAAAAACAAGAGGTAATCTTTTGTCAAAATATTTTTCTCTTCATGGAGGTGAGGTAAAGTCACTTATCCTTGTAAAAGCTTACTCCAGACATATCTGAACTTGGCACACCTTGGCTACATTCTGGCTCCCTGCAAGGTGGAGATCCTACCTGTTGTACCCTTTTCTAACCTGGTCTCCACATGAAGGAAACTTGAGCTGAGGCCAGGTGGAAGCCACATCATTATCTAGTCAAGGGACAGAGCACTTCTGTCTGGCTGTAGCTTATGGATACCACTCAAGGGCACAGAATCCAAGATCTGAAAACAGATGTTTGTCCAGCTCCAGGGTCTCTCTCTTCTCACCCAGACTTGTTGACAGATAACAAAAAGCCAGTGCATTCCAAGGCAATCAGAAGTCAGTCACAGCCCTCCTGTGCCCTCCCTTAGTGCTTCATTGGCTCCATTTCCCAGGAAACAATGAGGTTAATGTGTATTAAAGCTGACCTTTGTGGAAGCCACATATGCCCCAGCTGGACTGGCTCAACTCCCTGAAGCCCTGATTAGGAGAAGGCTGGAACAGACTTTTGTTTCTGTGAGTGCTCTGGAATAATGTCAGGAGTTCAAGGAAGGGGCAGAATGTTCTTCAGTTTCCTTACTTGTCTCTACATTTCAGATACTAAGTTTTAAAGAAGCAAAGTTAAAAACCCAGCTCTAAGGCATATAGAGAGGACTGAAAAGCTACAAGGCAGTGGGAAAGAAAGGAAAAGATAAAAATAACTTCTGTCTAACCTCTAGCTTCATCTTTCAGGCGCTGCACAGACTCTAGAAGGTTTTCTTTCTCATCCAGCTCACTCTCCAGAAAAGCATTTCTTTCAATAGCCTGGTTTAAACGCTGTTCAAAATCCTCCAGGGACATTATAGTGGCTCTGAAAAAGAGTGCACTAGGTGTCACTACCAGATCCTTCAAGCACATGGAGGACTCTCTCTCTCACAAGAAAATGGACATTTGCATTTTTGTTTGGTTTGCTTTGGTTTTGGTTTTTTTTTAGCTTGTAATATATGAAAGAGTGCAGTCAGGAAGAGGTAAAAAAAAGTTATCACATTGCCCATCTGCAACAAATCTCTTCAACACAATCATCAGACAAGTGATAGCTCAGAATGGCAATGCTAACAAGTAGTGTCACAAACAGCTCAGTGCCACCATGCTTGCAGGACAGAATAGAGGTGGAAAAAAATACAGAAAAAGCAGATCACCTTTTTGCTCTTTCCAAATCATCATTTTCTTGCTCAAGTTCTCGAATGTATTTCTGAAGCTGCTCTTTAATAGCTCTTGTCTGTGCCAAGTCATCTTCCAGCGCAGAGATTTGCCTGTATCCTTCTGAATGCTGCATTTCAATCTTTTCCTACTCAAAGGCAAATCAAACAGCACATCAGATACTTAGCAACACGTTCTCTTTTTGCAGCATTGTCTGAGCCCCTTGAAAGGCAGAGACAGACATTCTGAAGATTTTTGAGAAACACCATTTTACATATGGTAAAATGCCAACAAATTCAATTGCTCACACACTTCTGGGCTGCCAGCAGACAAGAGGTCTTCCTGCCACTCCTTATCAAACAGAAGTGCTAGGGAACATTCCCACACTCACAGCACAACGCCATTCCCTGCCTCTCCCCTACAGCCTGACTCAGCACAGTTTCTAAGCAATACACAAAGCACACAAGAGGAGTCACTTATTTTCAATCCTAATATGAAGTCAGGCAATATTCTGGAGCCAAAGTAAGAAGAATAAAAGAAAATTCCAAGTGTGACTGTGTTACATGCTGCTGTGAAATCAGCAAGATTCTGCACTGCTCATGTAGCTTTTTTAGCCCAAAGCAGGTTTAGAACTCTAGAACATTTCAGGTACAGATACACTTCTGGGAACCTAAACCAAAATCTGTCTCCCTCTAAACCATGTATACAAGGGTACATTTAAGACAGGCATAGGCAGGGAGGAAGACTAAGCTTCCACATCAGATCTCTCTCTCCTGCACTACCACTAAATGTGGAGTTAGTTCCACAGTATGTGACATGGGAAAGGTTTCCCCTGTGACAGGGAAAGCTCCAGAGCACACTATTACAGTGCTTTATACTCAACCACCTTGCTACCAGACCACTTCAACATGCCAGAGGTTTTTTGGAAACTTCAAGGTTGCTGGGCAAGCAACATTCCTGAAGTGCTCTCCAGACAGAATTCAAGTACAAAACACTTGAAGTCACTGGAAACAAATCCATGCACTGGAATTTCAAAACTATGGCAAGTCTAGTGTGAATGATAATGTGAAGACAAGCTATTTTAGCACATGAAATGCATAGACAAGGAGGAGGGAAAGAGATACCCATCCTGAACTAAGGAATCCTTATTTGACTGCAGTGTGGTGACATTGCTGTAATTCCAAATCTCTGAAACATTTAGGAGCCTCTAAACTCCAAGAGGCAGATTACTTTCAATTAGTTTCTCAGGACTCTCTAAACTAACCCTGCAAAGCACTAGTCCCATCAGTTTTTAGGTAGTGTGAGCTCTGATTTCTGAGGGGGAGCAGGCACACACACTGGGCTGGTCAGCCCAGAGCCACAAGCTGTGTGGGCCTGGCAAAGTTCACTGGTGCTGACCTAGATGCAGATCCCAACCCCTGATGGGCTCAGTTAACACTGCTGCTCAATAGCTTCATGAGATTAATGCTTTGCTCTTGAATTGATTCAGATAAAAGACCAGAACTGCAAGGTCTGAGTCTTTGTTTTTAGCCAATTGTAATAAACTATCAGCTGATCTGGCCCTCAATGGTGGCTCTGTTCCTTCACTGCAGGCTGTTACTGCACTTTTCAGGCTGCATGAATAGCCAATTGTTGAATGGTTTATTTCAAGCAGAATATATTTTAAGAAAGTTATCTACTGTGAAGAATCATTTCAGATTTTCTAAAATATGGCTGCCCTCCACTTTTTGGGGCTCTGTATTGCTTCCTACTATTTTCATTCCTCACTGTTTTGCCTGGTTCACTGGCCCTTCCTCTCATCCCAGCTACTTTAGAGAAAAAAAATCATATACACACTCCTCAATTAAACGAACTATGGATTTTATTTTTAAAACTTTTATCTTCTCCCCAAACCCATTAGCTTCCATGGGTTTATGTGGCTACCTGGAACAGCAGATCCATACTCTATACAACAAGCACAACAACTAATATTTCTAAGGTGCTACAACAAGTATTAAAGCAACATAAATACAATGAAACATGTCTTGGAGGTCTTGCTATCAAAAAGCAGGGAGTGGAGGAAATGGCTAAGCTACTGCTAGAGTGACAGGACATCTGCCTGGAACAGAAGAGTATTTCCTTCAGACAGTAATCTGGACAACAGTTTAAACAAAAGGCATTGCAAATCTGGATTCGTCTGGTGATTAATCACTTATACAAATACCTTCACTCCCATTAGCTCATTATTGCATCCGATTGAATAGAAGTGCAATCACATTAATCTTTGCTTCTACAGAGATTGAGCTAGCCCTACAAAACATAGCATAGTATTTCTTGGGTGACTGTAACTCATCTGTAAACAAAAGGCTAAATTAAAACTTTAAAAAGTCACCAATTTCAGTGACGATTTTTTTCCAAACTTAATGAGAACTTACCAGTATTTCCTGAACCTGTCAATCAGCACAGCACCACCTCATCACTCTCCAGACTCTAGATAGCTTCATTGTTTCTTAAGCCACTGTGTTAAGAAGCCCCATCTCAATAAATTCATATTCTTTATGTTTTATAGTTCTGGAAGTTAATGCCTTTCTGCTGGTTCTTATTTTCACAGAATGCTAACCAAGTGCAAAAAGAAAAACTCATTTTTCCCCAAGGACAGACATTCAGTAACAAAACCGGGACTAAAACTGTTTTATGACTCTCAATTCTCTGTGTTACCCACCAGCTGCTGCTTCCCAGCTTATCTGAAATGTCAGATAATAAATACACAACTATGTAAAAAGGGTTTTAAACTGAGCTTCCTTACATAATGCAAAAACACAGCTGCAATGTTTGTACTTTGATTGTTCTGCAATATTATCTGTGACTGCATGATGCAGACAGCAAGAAAACTATGAACAAAAGCACTAAATAGATGGAAGAAGGAATAGAACAGCAGCTCTCTTGTGTTCACACTCAGTCTCCACTCCACTGTGGACAGTTCTCTCCCATCTGAAATCCATCCTGACACACAGGCACTACCTGTGAAGAGGGCTCCAGGAACGCTACCAAGGAACACAGAATCCTCACAGCAGACAACAGGTTGACATCTCTTTACTTTTCAAGACTTTCCTTTCTGCAGTCTTCTGGTCAATTTTTGTGTAATGCTGAGGTGACAGCATGGGGCAGAGTCTGCAAACACCTGCCCTGCTCCCCCCTGCACTGAGGATGTGCACCAGCAGCTCTCACCTTCACTGATTCCAGCTCCATCCGCAGGCGGCTGTTTTCTGACAGAAGGTCTCTGTTCCTGGACTCTGTTTGCTGCAGCTGAGTCTCCAGCTCAGCTTCATACTCTCGGCTCCCCTCTTGGAATTCACGCAATTCCTCCTGCGTACTCTCAGCACTAGAGAGAAATTCCAGCAACACTCATCACCATGAACAACGGAAACAACATCTCTTGTACACTCAAGGTAAAAACAACACTGCTCTTGAACACAGAAGGCTATATGCCCTTCTCTGTATTAAACAGGAAGAGAGAAGCATAAGCAAATGTTTCCCTGCCATGCATGGAACCCCATAGCAAACTGGTAAAGAAATAAAAAAAGTCCAAATAAACAGAAAAACCCCAGAGTGTCTTCACACTGTAGATGTTGAGGATATATGGCATCTCTTTAGTTTGTCAATTGTCCACTGCCATCACACATTTATTTCACTATTCAATTCTATTATTTATTTGGAAATATAAAGAAAGCTGTTATTTATTAATAAGAAAAAGTGAGGAAGAGAGAAAGATTAAAGGAAGTGTTTTATATTCTTAAACAATTCTATCGAAATAATCCTCCAACAAACTAAACAAGCAGCAATGAAAGAGCTGTGTCTTTGCATGAAGTGTTATGCACCTTACCCAACCACTTGGAGGAATGAAGCCACTGCCTTACCACTGCTTGTACTTCACAGCCAACTCCTTCCAGTATCTGGTTTCCTCTTCCACTGAGCTGAAGTGATGTCCTTCTGAGTCTTCCATAATGAGTCCTCAAAGTCTAAAACTCCTGTTTCATTTTCCCCCCTGAAAAATTACAGGGTCAAGAGTAAGAACTCAGGCAGTGAGCAGCCTGATCCTCCTTGCTGAAGAGCAGAACACTCCCCCTCCCACACAGTCACTGATCGCCTGGAGACCAAACTAAAGGCCAGCCTTGATAGGACTCTGTCAGACTGACCATAAATGTGAAAGAATTCCTTCTAAATCACTCCTCCCAGTTCTCCCAAAGCTGCTGCAGGCTTACACCACATTCCCAGCAGTGAGCACCTTTGGCACCTCTGAGTACACAAACCCCAAACTGAGCTGCATCTGTGCCAGTGCACAGAGAACACAAGGGAAGAAAGACTCAGGTACAACTTCAGCTCCAAACACACTGCAATTCAACAATCCTAAAGACACCTACCATGAAATTAAACAGAAACTTCAAAGAGACAGAAATCAGACAAGATTCTGATTTCTTAAATTAACATTTAAAGGAACGCATAAGTTTTTTGTGGACTTAACTGCTGGACAGGAGAAAAATTTCTTCCTAGGTGAACACAGACAAAGCTACCCAACTTTAAACCTGAACTATCAAAATCCATGTATAGCTACAAGATATCTGAATACCTCAGAGAGCCATGGGAGAAGGGAGGGTAAAAGCTACCCAGAGGTTTTAGCAGGATATCACTGGCTGGGTTAGGTATGCAGATAAGATTGCAGCAATCCAGACAATCCAGCTGTCCCTGTGCCAGCACAAACCCAGCCACAGGACACAGTCCCAAATGGGAATGACACACTAAAGAGCCACAGGGGAATCAAGTCCCTTAAGCTGGTCACTCCCACTTGAGGACTTAAGTATCTCAACACCACAATTAAATAAAATAAATGCCCTGTGATGTGCATGACACCCTCTGGTAAACGGGTCAGCAACAAATATAATTTCATACTAGTTAGTCTTGACAATGGAGAAACATCAAACCTAGTGTTCTGCCCTGGGTGAGGCAAAGATTCCACTCAGACATTACCAATTTAACCACACTGATACCAAATAAACTAAATAAGATCACGAACAGCAAATAGAGGTGAAATTGAACAATTCAGGACGGTGACAGTTGTCACAAAACTGCATCATGGAAATCTAATGACTCAAGAAACACAGTTCTACCAAATTTCAATTCCAGTTCTGCTAAGGAAAATATTTCCTAGAGGTAATTCTGACGGAACAAAGAAGGGATGGCAGAAGCCTTCAAAGATCACTTAGATGTCAGCCCTGTTTTCTACTCCTATTTATGATACTCATAAAATGCTAGAGTAGACCCTTTGAGCAGCACATCTTAGCTAAAGAAAATGAGCATACACTGCACATCTATTGAACTCTGTGGAAGAAAATATCTCTGACCTGTGTCAAGACTTTGCTCTCCAAAAAATTATCTGGTATAAATAGGTTTGAGTAACAGCCACCTACTTAGTAACTCTACTGAGACAAACCCAAGTAGCTCTTACCTCTACTATGGACAAAAGTACTCAAAGCAGTCCGGCAATCTAAAGCCCAATTATTACATACCCAAACAATGCCACAAAGCCCAGTTCCTCTTCACAGCCCAAGTAATTACCAGATTATTGAGCAAGGAGTAAACAGCGTCACAGCTGAGTGGGGCTGTGCCTGCATACCTCAGTGCCCAGTATCAGCTACACACTCACAGAAATTACAGTGTTATTTAAAAGGGGAGTTGGCAGGTCAGGAGAAAAGTTACTAAGCCTTAGCTTTTATAACTGAGTTTGACACAAAATGTTCATTAGCCAAAGCTACATGTGTTCCTTCAAACAAACAAAAGAACTGATAATGTATTGACACATTTCCAGCATAAGGGTTCAAGGCTGAAAAATGCACTGAGCAAAAAAAGAGGAAAAGGAGTGTGAGTAAGGAGTGATTTTCCAAATAGTTCTACTGCATATTAAAAAGAAAATCATGACCAAGCATAATTAACATTCTTGACCTAGGATAGTTTATGTCACATCTCCTCTGTTATTTTTAAGTGAACTGAAAGTGCCTTTGATGTTAATCAGCATGTCCTTCTGCTCAAGACACTGTGTACACTGTGTACACAAGTACTGACCCTTGCAGCACACTTATGAAGAAAAAAGAAAAAAAAACCAAAATAATTTTTCTGACACAAGCATTATAATAAATGAACTATCTGTATTTGGACAGTCAACAAAAATAATTCAGGAAAAATGAACTGCAAGACATCTTGCTCTGAGAAGCTTTCAAACAACCCTTTGGAACCAAAAGGCAGCTTCCACCACCTTCAAAATCTTCAATATGCTCAGATTTGGCTCCTACATTCTCGTATTACACTTTGGAAGAACTAAAAGTCTGTAGTAATTGGCATTTTTTGAGACTGTAGGGCTGCATAGAGAAGAACTTTTCTTAACTGATCCATACAACCCATAAGGCTTTCAGAGACCCCTGTGAACATTCACAGAGCACCAAGGGGCTGCACCCCTCAATGCCAGGGATGTCTCTGTGACCATGAAATTATGGTACAGGCCCAATGAGGATGTCATCCATTAAGAGTTTGTTCTGCTTAATGGTCACCATTACTAAATAGTACTTATAATTTAAAATTAATTGTTCAACTGCAAATACATGGAAGGACAGTGGACCTGATTCCAGAGATGTGGCTACTGTCCTGTGCCACAGGCACTTTTTTGCTGCAACATTCAAAGAAGACCTGTTACTTTCCTTCCCTGCATTCATCTTAGCTCAGACTAAGCTGGGATTTTTACACTAACCAAAGATGAAAAATACAAATTTAAACTGAAAAGAAAAATTCCAAGTTTGATACAAAGTATTAAAGCTTTTTTAAATTTCTTTTCCCTGAAATTTTTCTAAGAAGAGTGCAAATAAAAACTATGTAAGTCTTGTTAAACTGCCTTAGAAAGGGTAGGGCAATGACTGGTTTTCCCCTGCTGCCTTCTCCCCTTGATTTTTAACAACTTGGAGACAATATGCAAAATGCCTGAAGAGAAATTAATCAGGAACTCCTCATTGTCTGGGCTCACTACAAAAGCAGGGAGAGCAAAGAGGGGTAAAGGAGGTTTTAGAAATGCTTTTTTAAACACTGGGAAAGGTGGAAAAAACGAGGAGAGAAAGTCAGAGCCTGTAACAGGCACACACTGGCTGCACCTTGCTTGTTTTCGCACACACGAAGCCAGAAGAGACATCTGGCCAGGCTTCCTGCCACAAGCGCTGCTCACAGGCATTACAAAGCTCCACATCATGCAGGAAGTGGAAGCGATCATGGGTGGGGACTGGAATTTTGCAATAAAACACGGCAGCATAAACGTTGTGGGAAACAATTTCATACCAGTGAGAGAAGAATTGCAAAATTCCTCAGGAAAAAGCAAGCACCGGGGAAAACAACACACAAAATTATTGAAGGAACTTCAGTTTGGGAATCAGTCTGAATTCACCCAAACTCATGAGGCCCCAACTTAGATTGTTTCGGTCCTAGAACAAAGGAGTCAAAACGACCCTGATACTGAACTTTTTCTTCACGAAAGAACATTTAGCTCGGTGAACAATGTTGGCCTACCTTTGTAGCAATGCCTAATAGTCCAAGTCAAGGAAATTCATATCATAACAAAAAAAGTGAAACAGTACCACAAGTACTACTGAATTATCCATGACAGAGATGATGAAGCTCCTATTAGACATTATTTTCCTAAATGTAAACCAAAACAAACCAGCTCTTTGCTCCCGAAAAGTAGCTTTCCCATCCTTTGAAATTCAGATTTGCTTAAAATATTCCCCTTGAAAGGGTCTTCCTGTAACACATGGGCCTGTTTTCTTTTGTTTAAGCCACACAAAAGAAAATCACCACAAAAGAGAAAGAAAAGGGAGAGGTCACGGGAGCACCAGGATTACTACAGAATCCCGCAGCCAGCAGTGAACAGTTATCGCCTTCTCTGGGGCTTCTCCACCAAAAGGCTGAATTCAGCAAAACCCTCCTCTCCTCAGTAACCAGTCCAGCTCCCACACTTCCAACTCTCCAGCGACTCCTAAGGAAACCCCACGCTGTTCTCCGCTAAACGCCTGACCTTGATGGTTCCAGCTGCAAGCCAGGAGGTCAGCGGGGCAGCGCTCCCGATCCCATTCCCATGCGGAGCACGAACCGGGCGGGGGCTAAACCAGCGGGCACGGCTCCCACGCTCCGCTCCCCGCCCCACCAGCGCCGGCACGAGCAACTCCAGAAGCAGGAGGCGGTTGGGGGCCGCAGCCAGCCAGGATCCCGATCCCCGTGCCCTGATCCCGGTCCCGCTGCCCCGGCCGTGCCGGGCTCTCACCGCGCTCCCGCCGCACCCGCACCGCCGCTCCCGGCCCGGCCGGTGCCGCCGCCCCATTGGCTGCCGGTCACGTGCGGCGGGCCGCTCGGCCAATCAGCGCCGCCGGAACGCGCTTCGGAAACTTTGGTGACTTTCAAAAGGCGCCGGGGGGCGGCGGCCGCGGCCGGTTCGGGTCTCGTTGTTGTTCCCATTCTCACTGCTGGTCCCATTCTTATTGCTGTTCCCATTCTCACTGCTGGTCCCATTCTTATTGCTGTTCCCATTCTCACTGCTGGTCCCATTCTCATTGCCGTTCCCATTCCTACTCCTGTTCCTCGTCAGGCTTGCTAAACACGCCCCCGTCCACGTTCAAGGACCTACAGTCACACGCCCAAAGCTCCGCATCTTCTGAGGTGCAAACCTAAGCGTGTAAACCAGCACGCGCCGTAAGTTTAAAGGCGTGATTGACCTTAAAATTATCTAAAAGAGGAAAAGCTTTACATTAACTCTTTTTTTTCCCTCTCAATTCAAAAGACCTCTGCTGCAAAAGCAAGCAGCGAGACAGCGCCAGTATCTATTTTTAACGCCAGCCCAACATCTTTAGACCGAAGTGTCCTTTTCCAGACCAAGGACAGGTTTCTGTGTCGCAGTCTATGAAATATTAGCCACTTCCAGTCATCCCCATCCCGGCATGATGCCATCAGTGCGGAAACCTGCGGCTGGCTCCCGCAGCCCGTGGGCAGAGCTGCCCGCCGTGCCCCCGCAGCAGGATCGACAGGAAGGGACCCGAGCCGTGCAGACTTTCCCCAGCGCCCCAGGTGTGTCCCTACCGACCGAGCACACAAACACTCGCTCATTAGTGGTGCCTGGCATTCGTTCGCGGAGCCAAAACAAAACCACAAATTATCGCACGTGTATCACTGCGGCCCGCACGGGCGGGGCCATGTGTCACCGAGTGTCACCGAGTGTCACCCCAGCCCCGGCAGCGCCTCCCAAGCGGCAGCGGGATCGGCACCCACGGGCGGGAGCCCGGGCCCAGCTCCGTTTACCCGGGATGTAACACCGGGCCCGGAGCACGCTCTGGGTCTGAAAAGACTCCTCTGAACTGGAAACACGCCTCTCCCAAAGGCCGTGTAAGGCTGGGACTGTAACTAAGAGGATGGATGCTTTTCCAGAAATACTGCACTAGAAGGAATCTGTCCATAACTCAGATAACTTTAACTGAGAAGGGTGACAAAAATTATTCTACTTTCTTGTCAGGCATTCAGCAAAAAAACTGTATGTTCAGTTCAGATGTTCAGCAGAAGTAAATGGAGACAAACTATCACAAAACTATGAAGAGAAAACTAAATAAGGCATTTAAAAAAATTGGGTTAATAGCATTTGCAGTTCTGTCATTACCCAAGAATGTTTTTATTATCAGATAAGTTGCAGAAAATAAACCACGTGCTATTGTAGTATGTTGCCAGTAATTAAAACAAATTATACATTGTTCACAAGTTTGGGACAAAGGACATTTTACTTCAACTCTTTAAGCAAGTTTTTAAGGATAGTATGACTACAGAGATTATGCCAAAGGTACATACAGCTGAGAATTTTTAATATTTCTCACTTGAAATACTTGTAAAACACAGCAAAATTTCTGAGATTTCAGAGGAAGCTGAGAGCCTCCCAATCAATTCTGAAACAGTGAAAAAGCACCCTAACAAATGCCAGGGGCTCAGAGGCACTACTGTACAAAACCAAAAAATATTCTTTAAAAAAGGTTACTGTAATCATTGTGACTGCCTTGTTTGCAAGAAGAACAAGAACACTTCTCTATTTCAAAATTAGCAGAGGAGGAGAAATTATTTTTTGCATTTATTTTTAGTTTGCTGATTAATAATTAATAACTGGCAGATCTTTGTGGTGCTAGGATTCATGGGCTGGTTATTTTAATGAGGAGGCCACACTGATTCTTCCACAAAAACTACGTGGACAAAAATTTATCCACTGTAAGTTCTGGTAAGGTTTTAACACCTTATGTTTTGGCAAGTAACTTCTGTTGGGAAAAAATTCTTGCTTTTCTTAGAGAATTAAACAACACACCACACCACCCACTCCATGGATGGAACAGGAACTGCTCACCAATTGTCATTGCAAACTACTGAACTGCTTTTTTTATTTTTTTCAAATGGATTACTGACATATAAAATGTGACAAACGTTTTAGAATATCATATGAAAATATTGCTATCACTAAAGAGCAAGTATTTAACAGCAATAAAACCTTTTTTTCTGTTTCTTTAAAGATATTATATAATTCTCTGCAATCTGTATATGCAGAATCAGATTTTCACATGCTTAAGCAAGAAACAGATTCTCACTACTTTAAAAACCTTCTGAAATCTCAGACTGACACGTTTTTTGTGAAAGTGTCAAATGCTCATTAATAGCACTGGTTTACTAAGCAGAGCAGAACACAGCAGCTCTCTCAGCCTTGGCACACAGCAGTGACACTCCCAGTGACCCCGGCAAGCCTGGCTGTGGCTCTGAGCTTTGTCACCAGGGCTTCTCCTTGCTGCTGGCCGCACTCTCTTAGGCCAAGGTGCAAGTATTCCAGCTTAGCCTAATTCCACAACTATGATCAAAAGATACTGAGGCACCAAAAAAGCAGATCCCACCGTGTGCTGTCACTAACCTCCCTGCTGGAGGGGCTCAGGCACCAGCTGAGGAGCAAGCCCAGCCTGGATGACAGGAGTGGCTGCATGACTTCGGCCCAGCCTTCCGAGGGAGCTGTTAAACCGTGACACACAGCCGCGTCTGTAGAAAGACAAGAACAGGAAAATTACAAATAGAGGTCGGGTTGTTGAGACAAGCTCTATTAGCAACACAAGGATTCAAGAGGAAAAATACCACAGTGGAAAGTTATACTACCCTAAAGTGAGCAAAGCCCAGTGACCTCTAGTGAGTTGCCAGTGCCACCACATCAACAGAGCAGTGACCCGTGCGTGGGTGCCCACAGCTTTATTGATGCTTCCTGGGCCAGCAGACTTCAGGAGCTTTGTCAAGGGGTGGGGACACACTCATGCGTAATCCACGGAGTTCTTAGAAGGTTGTTCTTTTTTTCTGCTTTGTATACAAAGTTATTGCTTTGTATTTTCAAGCTGTGTACATCTGACTTGGGGAATAGCTAATGATGCCCAAGGCACCCAGAGAAGCACAGAGAGGTCAGACATGTCTGTTAAAAGAAGCAAACTGCAGATTTCTGGAATATCTGCAGCGAGGGAGACTCCACAGCCCCTCTGGACGATCTGTCCCAGGGCTCGGTCTCTCGCAGGGAAGAAGTTCTTCCTCGTGTTCAGGTGGAACTTCCTGGGCATCAGTTCCTGCCCATCCTCCTGTGCCATTGCTGGGCCCAGGGACCAGAGCCAGGTCCCTGCTCGGAGGCCTCCCTGCAGGCTCCTTCACACATTCACCTCACGGCTTCAGCGCTGGGTCACGGTGAAGTCTGTGCGTGTTCTACCAGTGTTTGTGCGTATTTTACCCGGAGTTCTGTGTGTTTTATCCAGGATTGTGCGTGTTTTACCACCCTCGCACCGCCCCAAGCCCGCCTCACGGCCGCCGCTTTAAAGGAGGCGGGCGCGGGGCGTTACGACGGCCGGCTTTGCGGCAGCGCGCTGCTTTGCGGCGCGCGGAGGCGCCTGACGGCAGAAGGAGCGGAGCGGGAGGAGGGAGGACAACAAAGGCCGGAGGGGCCGCGGCGGCGGCGGGCGCGGGGCGGCGGGGCCGGCGCAGGTGAGGCGGCCGGGGGGCACGGCCG